TGTTTAAAAAATGGACTAGAGGTGAAGTCATGTGTGCAGAAGAACTGAGAGGGAGGGGCACAACATGAAAGATATTAAAAAAGGAATAGAGATGAGGCTAATTTTACCCTATTAGAATTCAGAGAAGTCCTAATAGGCAGAAACAGAGAGAAGACAGTGAGCAGCAGGAAAGTCTGCATACAAAAGAGTGGAACTCTTTCCTTTCTTTTATTCTGGTCCTTGTTGTTATGTGACATCAAGTCACTTGTGACTCATAGCAACCCTATGTACAAGAGCCCTAAATGCTGTTTTATCCTGTGCCAACCTCACTGTCTCAAACACACTCATTCCCACCACTCTACTCACAGAATCGATCCATCTCTTCAAGGGTCTTCCTTTCCTGTGCTGTCCCTCCACTCGCCCAAACATGATGTCCCTCTCCAAGGACCAGTCAGTTCCTCCTTGCAACATGCCCAAAGTATGTCAGACGAAGCTTCAGAATCCTTGACTCTAAGGCGCATTCTGGCTTTACCTACTCTAGGACAAACCTGTTTGTTCTTCTAGCAGTCCATGGTATATTCAACACTCTTCTCCAGCACCACAGCTCAAAGGCATCAATTCTCTATCATCCCTATTCACTGTCCAACTCTCCGATGCATAGCACGTAATTGCAAAGACAATAGCCTGGATCAGGTGCACCTTAGTCTCCAGCCTGATGTCGTTGCACTTCAGTACTCTTGAGAGGTCCTTCACAACTTACTTTCCCAATGCAATTTGTCGCTTGATTTCCTGGCTGCTCTTACCAAACCAAGTAAACTAAAACTGTTAACTATCTCAATCTCTTCACCATCCATACTGATGCTGCCAATTGGCCCAGTAGTGAGAATCTTTGTCTTCTTGATGTTGAGCTTCAATCCATGTTGAAGACTGCAGTCCTTGACCTTCTGCAGCAAGCGTTTCAGGTCCTCCTCAGTTTCAGCGAGCAGGATTGTGTCATCTGCATAACGAAGGTTGTTGATGATTCTTCCACCAATCCTGATGCCACCTTCCTCCTCGTACAGCCCAGCGCCTCGGATGATCTGTTCTCCATACAGATTGAAAAGGTATGGAGACAGAATAAATCTCTGACGGACCCCCTTCTTGATTTTGAACCATGTAGTGTTTCCTTACTCTGTTCTGATGATTGCATTTTGGTCCAAGTATAGGTTTCGCATTAACACAATCAAATGTTCTGGGATGCCAATTCTTCTCAGAGTCAGCCATAGCTGCTTGTGATCCACACAGTCAAAAGCCTTTGCATAGTCAATGAAGCACAGATAGACATTCTTCTGGTATTCTCTGCTTTTTGTCAAGATCCATCTAACATTAGCTATAATATCCCAAGTACCATGACCTCGTCTAAATCCACCCTGCACATCTGGCAGTTCTCTGATGACAAACGTTTTTGGATAATTTTCAGCAGAATCTTGCTTGCATGTGATATCGATGATATTGTTCAATAATTTCCACACTCTGTTGAGTCACCTTTCTTTGGAATGGGAACAAATATCAATCTCTTCCAGTCAGTTGGCCAGCAAGCTGTCCTCCAGATTTCTTGGCACAACTTAGTGAGTACATCCATTCAGGGAAGCGTCTGTTTGTTGAGATAAATAAATTTGTATGCTATCAACTCCTGGAGCCTTGTTTTTAGCCAATTCCTTCAGAGCAACTTGAATTTCCTCCTTCATCACCATAGACTCTTGCTCATATGTTATTTCATGAAATTCTCCTGTGTCAGCCAATTCCTTCTGATACAGTTACTCTGTGTACTCTTCCCATCTTCTTTTGATACTTCCTGGCCCTACTGAGTCATAAAAACCTATAGCTAATTAATTGCCATCAAGGTGATTCTGGCTCATGTTGATCCTACTGGGTGGAGTACAACTGCCCCATACAGTTTCCAAGTCCAGATTGACACAACTTTCTCCTGTAGAGCAGCTAGTGGGTTCAAGTAACTAGTCTTTGTAACCACTATGCTACCAGTATGCCACACAAAGTCTGAAGATGCTACAAATAAATATTCCCCTTTCCATTCTTATTGCTTTTAGATGCTGTTGAGTTGACTACAACATATAGTAACTCCATGAACAGTGTACTACCACATCCTTATCCCAGGCTCTCCTTGCTTTTCATTTGGGCTGTCACTACCTTTTTTTTTTTAAAATTTATTTATTCATTCTTTTTATGTGTGTACCGTCAAATTGGATCTGACTGGTACAGGAGGCGATTTTTCCTCCTTCTTCAGGAGAGCATCTGGTGGATTTGAACCGTGCACCTCTGAGATTGCAGTGCAGTTTCCTGCCACTAGGCCACCAGAGCTTGCCACTACTTCTAACTAGGTTTCCTGATTCTAATTTGGGGCCTCACCAATCTAGCACTGTCACTAGAGTGATCTTTCCAAAACTCACATTAATTTGGATACCTTCTTTTAAGATACTACCCTAATAAACTGATAATAGTCCCTTTGAGTATGGACTCATTCCTTACATTTGCTAACCCCTTTTATGTGATAAAGAGCATATCTGATCAAAAGACCAGTAATATTTTTATACAGTGGCACTCAAACATAAAACTCTAAAGGGAAAAAGGCTGGGGTTCTTGATTTTGAAGGGACCTCTGAAGGCCTAGTGGGTAAGGAGCTGCACTACCAAATGCAAAGGCAGGTCGTTCAAATCCATTAGTTGCTCCATGGATGAATGATAGGCTAGGCTCTGAAAACTTTGACAGAGGGTCAGTGATGAGTTCAGCTATTAGTTCATGCCTCTGAAAAAAAGATAGGGGTCAACTATTGGTCAGTTTTGACTTGAAAGCACAAAATAAGAACAAGAGAAGTGGCAATGAGATAAGTGCTGCCACCAGTATGGAGGTTGAACCCATAAAAAGATGGAGCAAGTGGTGATGCATCCTTTTAAGAAGTCCAGGAACAAAGAGAAGGATGTAGTGTGAGCAGTGAAGAAGAGGAATGAGGGCCAGAGAAAGCATTGCTGACTCTAACTACATGCAAAGTCATACACAATCACCCTAATGCATTGTCTTAAGTATTTTCCAACAAAGTCCAGTACATGAACTCAATAAAATCAAGTTACAGAAAATAAAAACTTGAACTCAAAAAGTAGCTACATTATTGCATGGTGCCACTGTTATAGAATGGGACTGATATCAGGGTTGGGGTAAGACTGAGGAAAAAAACTGGATAAATTATGCATACTGTATTGAAACAGATGAGGGAAAGAACAGATTAAAGGCGATATATGATTGGGTATTATGGTTAGCACAGGAGTCCAGAATTAAGGTTGCATAGAGAAGTGTACTCAGTACGGGGGGGGGGTGTTTGGGAGGGATGGGGGAATTGTATACCAATGAAGGAATTTTTCTTTTTTCTTTTCAAAGAGAGGAGCGACTGGAGGTGAGGGGTGGGCAGGAGAAAACTGCAGCAATGAATGAATGGAAATCCAAAATCTCTGTAAATGTTCATTAAAATTAATAAAAAAAAATAGCTACATAACAGTGATATATTATCACATATAGATTCAAGATTTTTCTAAAACAAAAAAACAATTTCAAGCAAAAAAATGTTAAAAACCTCAAGAACATCTCTACAATAGCAATATTTCCACTACTGATCCCCAAATATTCTCACCTATTGACATATTTTTATGTGTAAAGCTCTAAGACAGATAAGAGGAGAACCTATGAAGAGATTTCTTCCCACAGAGACTTACAGAAGGAAAAGCTGAATATAACATTATGACCAGATAAGATAATTTCAGAGTTCTGAGGAAAGAAATGTTACTCTTAGACAGAGGAATGAAAACAGATTTCTTGAAGTGGCATTTGAGCCTGGCTTAGGGGACAGCTCACTTTTCATGAGGCCAAAGTGTGCATTAGAGGACAGCTTGCGTCTTGGGAGGCTACAGCGTACTCTTGATGCTGTTCACTTGAATTTTTGGAGAGTTTGCTTTTTTTTTTTTTTAAGAACATAATTCACTTTGTTATAGAAAATCCACTATGTGGTGGCCACAGCTGGAGCCTGAGTCCTCTGCACGGAGACTCTGGAGTGAGTCTTTACAAGATGATCTGTGAATTCCTGGTAGGGAGACTTCGTGAACACCGTCTCTTTCCAGAGATCTGGGGTCACATAGCTGTAGTTCTTTGAGATGGCATCAAAGGTGGCCTTAGCAAAGTTGCCCAGGGTAGCTGTGCAGCCCCTGGCTGAGGTGTAACAGTCATCAATTCCAGCCATCATCAACAGCTTCTTAGGCACAGGGGCCTAGACGATTCCAGTGCCTCGGAGTGCAAGGATCAGACGCACCAACACAGAGCCACAGCGCCCAGTCACCTTGCAGGGAACGGTGTGAGGCTTACCAATCTTGTTCCCCCAGTAGCCAAGCCGCACAGGGACAATGGAGAGCTTAGCTAGAATGATGGCCCCACGGATAGCAGTAGCCACCTCCTTGGAGCACTTGATGCCCAAGCCAACATGGCCGTTATAGTCTCCGATGGCAACAAAGGCCTTGAACCTGGTCCGCTGGCCAGCACATGTCTGCTTCCGCACTGGCATGATTTTCAATACTTCATCCTTGAGGGACATGCCCAGGAAGAAGTCGATGATCTCAGATTCCTTGATGGGCAGGGAGAAGAGATAAATCTCCTCCAATGATTTAATCTTCATATCTTTCACCAGGCGGCCCAGTTTGGTGACGGGGAGCCACTCCTTGTCCTCGGCTTTGCCTCCTCGAACTCCGCAGCCCCTCCCACGGCCCCATCCACGGCCGAGGCCCCAACCCCGCAGACCACTACTGAAGCCTCCGCAGAAACCGCTGCGGGCTCCCATCCCAGGGCCTCCAGGGCCTCCAGGCCCTCCCGCTGCACCAGCGTCATCCGCCATTTGGTGTTTTCTCAGAAGAGCGAGAGTTTGCTTTTTTTAATCCTGCTCAGACATTATCTGAGTTCTTTCACACTATAGAAGGGAGCCCCCTTACCTGTGAGATTAGCTGCCATCTCTTCAGAAGTCTGTGTTAATCTCAATCCTTGTTTGAGTGGACCTTCGGAATCCATGAATTGTCGGCGTTTGAGGTAGCAGGACACTGCCATCTGAATCTGCTCTGTACGTACTCGTTTCATGACCTCCAAAAAGAGAGACAAATACTATGAAGAATCACAACACTCAGAGAATACTGGGTGTCTTAAAGGTTATTTAGCTCAATCCATAACATCGCAGATGTTTAAAACTATTAGAAAAAGAATAGTCACATGGTTAGTTAAATGATTTAGTTAAGATGCAAAACTATGTGCCTTAACTACTTGGTACTCGTTTTATTTTATCAGATTTCCCCCATGACAATACAAACAACTTCAACAAGGAAAATAAGAATAAAGAGCACAGGTAACAAAAGGCCACTGACAGTCTCCAAACTCTATATATGACCCCAATTTATATCAGCTTCATGAAACTTTTCAATACAAATATAACAAAGAACAAACATGACCAGTTTGAATTTCAGGTCCTTTTATTTCCCTAGCTTACTCAATGAAAGAGTAAATTACCACTGAAATTAGTAAATTCGCAATGAATAGCAAAATAGAAGGCAGTAACAAAATAAAAATCTTGAACTATTCCTAAAGAATAATCAGCTGTTGACAATGTGGAAAATCAATAACAGGAAATGGGAATATTAGGGACTTCTTTTGGTTTGTTTTAATAGGAAAAGGCTAAGAGGTCTATATCAAGGATTTGAACAATATGTTTTCATTTCAGTCATAAAATTTATGTCTTTTACTGTAAAAAAACAAAATAACTGCAGGTGTGGAAAAAGATAAAACCAGTAAGAGGGTATCTTTTCTTTAAGGTATTGAACTATGTCTCAAATTCTTATCAGAAAGGAAAGGAGTAGGAAGTGAGCTATACAGTGGTAAATTACCTTTTTTATAAAAAGATATTTTATTGCATATTTGGTGAACATTGTTGTTGTGTACTGTCAAGTTGGAACTGATGTATAGCTGCCTGCCTGCCTAGTGGGCTTTCAGAGGGTGAAGATCACAAGAGAGGAGACTGCACATCTTCCTCTCTCAGGGCTGTTGATGGATTCAAACTATGTTCCTTTAGGTTGGTAGCACAGTTCATTATCACTAGACCTCCAGAGCTTGGCTATATATTACTTTGAATAAGTCAAGCTAATCTGAGAGCTTACAAAAAGGCTATTTTCCTTGAATGCTAAACTTATTATTAAGAATGAGGGAGCTCTGGTGGCCTAGTGGCAAGGAGCTGCAAGTACAATCCCAGAGGCACACGGTTCGAATCCAACAGATGCTCTGCCGGGAAAAGGAGGGACAATCTCCTCCTGTACCAGTTAGACCTGATTTGACGGTACACTCACACAAAAATAAAAATAAATAAATAAAAAAAGAATGAAAGGAATCCCAAGTATTGACATGAGCTGAAAACATTACTTTGCCAGAAGAATATCACAATCTCTTGTTGTTATTATGTGCCACTGAACTGCCTGTGACTCAACACTATGTACATTAGCTCTGAACCCTGTCCTATCCTGAGCCAATCTTATCATCTCTGACAAGCCTAATCTCATTTCTCCAGTTACTGAGTCAATCCTTCTCATCCTAGGTCTTCCTCTCTTGCACTGTTCCTTACTCTTCCAAGCATGATGGACTAGTACCTCTTGGCCACGTGCCCGAATATGTGAGACAGAGCCTCAAAAATCCTTGCCTCCAGGGAGCAGCCTGGTTCCACCCTCTCCAGGACAGACTTGCTTGTTCTCCTGGCAGTCCATGGTATGTTGAACACTCTTCTCCAGCACCACAACTCAAAAGCATCAATCTTCCTTCTACCATCCTTAGTCATCAGCTCTCTGATGCATAGCAAGTAACTGCGAAGACCATGGCCTGGATCAGGTGCACTTTAGTTTCTACACTCACATTGCTGCTCTCCAGTAATCTGGAGAGGTCCCTGAGAGCAGACTTTCCCAATGCAATTAGTCTTCTGATTTCCTGAATGCTGTTGTCAAGAGTGTTGATTATGGAAACAACCGAGCTAGCATCACGATGCTGCCAATGGTCCAATGGTGAGAATATTGGTTTCTCAATGTTAAGCTTCAATCCATGTTGAAGACTATAGTCCTTGACTTTCTGTAGCCTAAACAAACAAGTTTCAACAAACAAGACTGTATCATCTGCATAATGCAGGTTGTTGATGAGTCTTTCTCCAATCAAGTAAAAAATACTTTCCCCTTCAAAATCAAAATAGATGTCCAGTTTGGAATGAATACAATGTATTATGTATCATTATAGTATAATATACTATGTACTTGTGATTGTTCCTATTAAAACAATGCTGTTATGTGCCATTGAGTTGATTACAACTCATAATGACCCTAAAAACAATAGCTCTGAACCCCACTCTATCCTGACCCAATCTCCCTTTCTCTGACACACCTACCTATAAAACAATACTTGGGGGGAGGGGGTCTGTGCAGAAGAGAAGTGCAGCAATGAATGAATGAAAATCCAAAATCTCTGTAAATGTTCATTAAAATTATTAAAATTCTAAAAATTACAAAAAAAGGGAAAAAAATACTCTCTGAATTTCCAAATCATGGGTTCTCAGGTGTATTATGTAGTCTATGATTTTTCCTTATTTTTTAAAAAAAAATACTATAAAAACAGAGAATTTGCAAATTCAACATTTTTAATGTATATTCAAGAGAACTTCTAGCAATCAGTTGTGCAATATTCACCAACATCAACTGCCAAATTTTCTATCCTCATACACAAAGACTCTGTTCTACCTAAACAATGATTCTCCTTTCCCTAGCAAACATCATTAAACAAATCTGAAAGGTTTCGATTGAAGTGAAGAACCACAATGAAGTAGAAACATTTCTCAAAGTTTATTGCATGCCAGGCACAAGTGGAGTAGAACTGGGGGTTGGGCTTAGGGGGGCTTATATGGAGTTTTAGCAAATGTGCTTTAGGGGGTTGTGAGATGAGTTGACACTGCAGTAGCTCATTGGTGTATAAAGTTTCTGATTTTGGAAAAGGTTCTAATATGCAAATTTCTGAGGTTTGAAAAACATCCTGATTTTGAAAAATAATCTGACATAGGGTTTTCTGACTTCTAGTTTCGGAAAATGTCCTGACATAGGGATTTCTGAGTTGAGCTTCAACCTCCATTTTGATATTTTGCCTAACAAAATCTTTGCCTATGGAATATCTACGGTTTTGGTTGTTTTGTGGGTTTTTTTTTGTTTTTTTTAAGTTTAGTTTTGAATATTTAATTGGCTCTGTTTAAGTTCTAAATTACATGCATTGGCCTTTCCTTTTTGATTTCCGGCATTTTAAGTTGTCTCTTTTCAGAAACTTGACATTGACTTTTTGTTAAAAACCTTACTTTAAAATTTTGTTAAAAGTCAATTTTTTGTTCGTGTATGGCGAATGTAAGATGCAAGATGGTAAGTAACAAGTTGTCTCAAAATCATTGTAAATAATATTTTCTTTCGAATTTATCCATCATATCTCTTTGGTACTTGGGTTAGCAGTGCAATCACTATGGCCTATACCACCAGAGCTCCCTGTACAGTGCACCATTAAGTATTGTATCTTACAATTCATCAAATATTTACCTTAGAATATACTATTTCTCTCTTTTTTTTTTAGAATATACTATTTCTGTGCATAAAAATTATTAAAGAAACACAGAAATATCTTGAATAATGATATGGTAATGTATTGATGTACACCTCAATTAGCAACCATTTGTTACTATGAACCACTACATACACTTCAATTTGTTACACAATAGGCTTTCTAGGAGAGTGGCTGTAACTGTAGGTTGTATGCAAGTCACCTGGAGACTGCCTGTATTATTCTTTCACTGTATAAACCATCTAGTCAATTCTGGCTTAAAATGATCCAATAAAACAGAGAACATCGTCCCAGGTTCTCCAAGGCTGTAAATATCTATGGAAGTATAATGCCAAAGCATTCTTCCTTGAACTGTTGGAGGGTTTCAACTGCAGACTTTTGTGTTAGGACCTGAGAGTGCCACCAGTACTCCTAAAATGACTTAATATCTAAATTTTTTTTAAATTGCTATTATAGAATTCTGATGCTCTGAGATTAGAGAATGCCTGTATTTATCTACCAATGAAAACAGCTTATGGAGCTACTTGTATACATTACCATATCATTTGACAGTATCAGTTGCTCTCTGATTCTCTAAGCCAGCCACATATATTTAAGTGTGTGTATTTACGCACGAATAATTTCAGCTTTAAGATTCTGATTTAGCATTGTACTTCCAAGCATCCCATCCTCCCCTAGTCTGTGATAACTACTTTTATTCTAATTTTAAGAACTTCCAGACCCTAAACTCTACCAAACCATTCTTTTGTTCTTCACATTATAACTGTGACTAAACTTTTTCCCAACTTCCTACACTCAGTCTTTTGCTCCAGATGGTAACGGATCTATGTGTGGTTCATTAGCATTTAGAATCAGACAAGAATAAGAAATTAGCTCTAATTAGAGTGGGGGAGGGGGCACTTTGTAGGGAAAAAGCAGTCTCATGAATAATAAGGAAGAATGTTGCTGGGAGAAGATGCCCTTTAATGATAGTGTTATTCTCCAGACAGGATAACAAATATGCAGGATTCAGCAGGAATGGAGGAAGGTATAAAAGATTTACTGCAGACAATAGAAAGTGAGACTGAATCACAGATTAAAAAACAAAACAAAACTGGTTATGTTCGGGATTTGCAGAAATGATACCAATTTCTCCGTTTCAAAACCACCACTTTAACGAACTTTCTCTAAGGCTGGGCAGTGGCAGGTTGTGGAGTCCAGGATCTTAAGGACAAGACTTCGGGCTTCAAGCCTCTTTACAAACCAATTTAAACTGAGGCACTGGAACCAAGATACAATTAATCCAACTTGATTTTATCTGCTCATTGTTAAGTGACCTTAAGTCAAGTATTCTATGAATAAGAGATTTGAACCCTGTCTTATCCTGTGCATATTTATCATCTTCGACACATTTGAGTCCACTGCTACAGATACCATGTCAATCCATCTTGTAAAGGGTCTTCCCCTCTTTAGCTGACCCTCCACCT